GAGGAAAGTCTTGAGTCCTTTAAAGACTCTACGGGGATTGTTCAGTATTTTGAAGTAAGAATCCATGGTTCTGAAGAATCAGCTGTGAGTAGTAAGAGACCAAAACCCATTAAAGAGAAACCTTTGCTTTGCTGAGACAATCAATACTGGTCAGCTGTGGCTACAGAATCACCTGTGATTCCGAAGAGACCTGCATCATCAGAACAAAATCTTCTGCAAAGTGTTTATCAAGACCAGCACACAGAAGCTGTGATCCAGAGGGGGCCAGGGTGAGAGCCGAATCTGTTCATGTGTAAGGATCACAGGCCTGTAACTGCTTTTGGTGACACGAAGCTGCAGCACTGAAGGGGTTACCGAGGGCAGCTGAGACTTGGCATTGCGAGAGGTCATGAGAGGTCAATGGTGAAGGTACAGCCTCAGCTGTAGTAGAAATCCCAGGATTGAAGGAGCCTTGAATAGTAAGGAGGTGATAGGAAGCATGGCACCATGTGGCGGGGACAGAGTTCTTGAAGAGAACCCAGGAGATATGGCTGGTGAAGCCCAGGTGCAGTGGAGACAAAAATGTTGGAGATGCTGGTGCCACGGACAACCACCAAGGCCAGCAGCACCTGAGGCATGAAGCCAGGCTGATTCTGTGACAAAAGGTGTTGTGTGCTTCGAATGCCAGCACCGGGGAAGTAGAACCCTTTGGGGACCAGGGGGTTTTGAACGGGTCCCAGATTGTGACCCGGTTCTTCCCCTTGCAGTAAGAATTATAGAACCCACTTTTGATTTTACAGGAGCCCACAGTTAAGAGAATTTGTGATTTTGTAGAGACTTTGGATATTTTAGAGAAACTGAGAAAGACACTTTAGATGTTGTAAATTGTTTGGGACTTTGTAAAAAGTTACAGTGGTTTTATAATGTGAGATTAATATTAACATGCCCAGACTTGGGGACAGGTGTGTCTGTATGTCGAGTTCAGAAAGCACCAATTGTGCTGGCTGGTTTTATGTCAATTTGATTTACCTTAGAGTTATTTAGGGAACGGGAACCTCAATTAGGGAAATACCCCCACCCAACCCGCCTAGGGCAAAGCCTGTAGGACATTTCCTTGATTAATGTGGGAGGGCCCAGCTCACTGAGGGCTGCTTGTCCTGAGTTCTGTAAGAAAGCAGGTTGAGTACGCCATGAGGAGCAAGCCGGGAAGCAGCATCCTCCATGATCTCTGCTTCAGGTCACACCTTCCAGCTCCCGCTGGAATTAAATTAATTCTCTCCAAACTTGACAAAGGACTACGATTTTAAGTTGAAAGAAACCTATTTCCCCCCAGGTAGCTTCCTTTATTAACACAGTAGTAGAAACCCTAATACAGTCTCTGGAAAAAAATACAGGAAAAATAGGGTACAGTTTTTATACAAAAAGGAAACAAATACAACATTGGGAACTTAAAAATTGGCTGCATGGCTGACAAAATTGCTCAGTGTATAAAGTGCCTGTCACCCAAACCTGGTAACCTGCATTCTATCACTGACCCCATGGTAGAAGGACAGAGCCTTCACACGCACACACACAAGAATTAGCTGTAAAAACTTTTTTTTTTTTTTTTTTTTTTTTTTTTAAAAAGAAAACTGGTAAGTTTTGGGTTGGATTACATGTTTGATGTTGGGGAATTGCTTATTTTCTTGGATGTGGTAACAGTGTTGCTCGGTTCTTGGGAGACACCATAACACCGGGGAAGTAAAGAAACACGATGTGTGCAAACCACTTTCATAGGCCTCAGCCAAGACAACGTTCCCATCTGCCTTCTCTCTAGCTCACATGCATTCACGCACAAAGTCTACTCTCCCACAAGGCTGGTAAAACCGCGAGCTACATTCTGATAGAGAGCCACCTTGGCAATGGTATACTAATGATTTTAATTAGTTCTGCTCCAAGGGGACTAATTTATTAAATTAATTCTCTCCAAACTTGCTTGACCATAGAATTCTCCTTTCAATGAATGTTCTAAATACCATATGGAACTAATTTCAAGAAAATTGATCCAAGGAGACTTCCTGAAGTAGTAACAGATAACAGTAAAAAAAAATCTGCTCTTATATGTGTACATTAATTTCAATTTTGTTTTCCTTAAAATACTTTATCACTGTTTTATTAAGATACATAGGAGATATTTTAAAGGGGCTTTTAAAATTATTTTTTACTTTTTTCCTATTGGAAAATTCTTGACTTTTTTTTTAATTAAAATGCTGATCATACTGTATACAGGGTTCTGTACCCTTCCTTTCTCATTTAATACTATCACAATCCTACTTTTTACCACTACACCTTTCAATAGTGTTGCTTTTAACATTTATATAATGTTCCCACGGTACAACAAAACTAAATGATTTAGTATTCATTCAGATTATTGAACAAATTTCAGTCTACTCAACATTATGATATAAACTATGAAATTATTTCGTAATTAGTAGATATACAAAGTTTGGACTATTATCTCTTCAAGGAGACAGACTCCTCCTTCAGGAAATAAGTGAGCACAAAAATCCTGCTTGACCCTTTCCCACATGCCTTCCACAAGTCAGACAACTGATGCTATCATCAGCAGTGCATAGAAGCTGTGCTACAACCACCATTAAATTTGGGTGCTAACACACAGCATATTAGTATCTAATACACAGTGCTTATTTTTTTTTAATTATATGTCCAACTTGTTTTTTTTTTTTTTTTTTTTATTAATACAGGCTGGAGCTAATTACTGTGTTACATGAGTCCTTTATATGTTAATAATTCTCTGTCAAACATTTTGTGTGAATACCTATTGCTCTTCTGTATTTTTCCATTGCCTTTATCTTTAGAAAAGATAATACCTAAAAATAACCATCTACCTATATTACCGTTTAAATTTACTTTTTTGAATACTATTTTTTTTTTTTGTATTTCATTCAATTAGTTTAGAATTGAGTGTACTGTGTGTTCAGGCTAAAATTCTAATCTTCTTCCTAAGCAACTTGATTTTCAGAGGACAGTCTTCTAACAATGTATTTCAATGGTGTCCTGGTTCTGGAATGTGCTCACTGTCACGCAGCATGTCAAACAAGGTCACAGGGGTCTCAGATCTAGACAGACCCTTTGTAGGACACCAAGGTCAAATACCAGGTGGGTGCGATTGTGATTTTTCTGAGAATGGAAAGAAGGAAAAATCTTTAAATTCAGAAGACGCACTTGAGAGCGAAAGGGGAAAGGAGGAGGAGCTTCTGGTGAATGGAGAGCCAGGGGTGAGCTGGTAAGAGCAGCTGGGCAGGGAGAGTGCCTGCCTGCAGCAGCCTCACACTGGGAGACACACCACAAAGGCGCCTTGCACAAAGTGGAGGCCTTACCTCCCTAAACCAAGACTGGTTTACACAGATGCAGAAACAAAACCCTTGGCTTCAAAACAATCCCAGGGCCTTCTCACCAGGCTGATCTTATTAGTGTCTGCCAGGAAAAGCAACAACAAACTTTGGAAAATAAAATTATTTTACTTTCCCAGAAATGTTTCACGAATGAGATGATGAATCATTAAAAAAAATATTTAAACTCAGTATAGAGGAAGATTTTAAGCTATCCCTCTTTCTGTACAGTGCTCATCTCCCAGTTGTTTTCACAACTGGGTTTTAGACAACTGGATGAAACCTGGTCAGGAACTGTGGCCGGCCTAGGCTACATGAGACCCTGTCTCAAAAGATGGATCCTGATGTTGAACCTGCTTTTTCATTTATACAGCCCAGGAACCCAGCCCATGGGAGGTTTAACATTTCCTAGGAATACCTTCATAGACATGCAGAGGTACCATGGGGGTTTCAAATCTACTCAGGTTGATGACAGATCAATCACCACAGCTCCTTTCCACTGAGGCTGTTTAACTGCAAGACTTCAGCCTCAGCACAGCTTCTCAGGACTCAGTTTAAAATCAAGGGCTGGCGCGATTATACCCCTTAGTTCTCTGTTTGCAACAGCACTCAAAGCATCTCTGAAGAATGTCTTTGACATCTCTGAAAATTCTACAAATTCCTGGCACCCCACTGCCCCTGCCTCTGTGAAGATCTAAGGATACTCTCCACCCCTCTCCCTTCTAACACCCGCTGAGTCTCCCCTGAGTACTTGCAATTATGGTTACTTGTGCATCCCAGTATGTAGCATAAGTACACTCCATAAGACATTGTGAAGCTTTTCAGGGCAGAACCTTGTTGTTATAATTACTCATGAAGGAGGTAGTGTCAACACACCAGAGACACTGACGTTTTCCAGAGCAGGTCCCATCTTCTCCCTCCATTAGGTACACTCTGTACCTGCACAGTACCCTCTGTGAAGTTATCATAAGACCTGTATACATGCGACTGAGTAAATGCTGCTTCTTAGTACTTACACTAGGGCAATAATGAAGACACCTATACCCAACTTCCTAAGCCAAACCCAGAGCAGAGAGAGCAAAATAGGTATACTGATTCTTAGATATCAGTCTGTGAAAATAACCTTCTGGAAAACATGTTAGAACTACAAAATCCCAGGCTCCTCCCCTGGAGAGACTGATCCAGTCGGACTCAAACCAGAGTCCATTTGATCCTAAGGACAATCTGTGGGGAGGTTCATGGTCAAGACTTTGGTATATGGTGACAGAATGCCACTATACAGTCATGAACTCCAAAGTTAGCCGTTCTCATGCACTTAAGACTTTTTTTTTTTTTTAAGTTTCTTGATTTGAATGTTAAAGCACAAAGCACAGCAGACCTATAAAAAGAACACTTAACAATGCATCTAGTCTGGCGCCTTGGGAGCTTAGGCTGTGGGACAACAGCATCACATCCCATTCTCTGAGAACACTATCTGCACATGTTTTTCACCTATAAGTCCTTTTTTTGTTTTTGTTTTGTTTTTAATAAACTATTCAAGGCTTAATTTGCTCTAAATAGTCCTTTTTCAGACCACCTTGCCACGCACGAGGCTAGTTTTAAAATAACTCAAGGGCGCAAAGCTCTTACCTCGGTCCCAGAGGCTGGCTCTTAAGGCTCTTTCCAGCTGCTCCTCCTCGCTCAGTCCTGCTGTGTAGACATCATAGTTCCTATGAGTGTTTTCATTGGCTCTCGGTCTGCCGTCTGGGTAGTGATTTTGATAGCCAGAGGGGCCTGTGGGCACAATCAAAAGGTTACAGAGCCCAGTGATGGGGTTTGGCTGTTGCTTCAGAATTCCCACTTTGCATGTGCAAAGACAAGAAAACAATTCATGTTACCATTTTGAGTGTAACAATAATCTTACAAATAAGAAAAGATGACATACAGAGAAAACTTCCACAAGGGTGGCCAGCGATGCCCTGTCACGGTTGCAGCCACAGCGCAGGACACAGACCTGGATATGGCTGAGATGACGTGTCAAAGAGGAGAAGAGACAGTAATTAGAAGGCAGCTGCAAGTACAGCAGAAGAAACTGGAGTGGGCTTATGGGGCGCATTTGTCAGCTTGGAGCTGTTGTCCACCCTGTTGCCCTGGAGTATTTCCTGTGAAGTTCTGACTTGAGTGGGAGAATGGTGGGAAGTAGCTGAGAACATTTTACTGTCTTGTGGCTCCACCCAATCAGACACAACCAATGTTTCATATCTATCTATCTATCTATCTATCTATCTATCTATCTATCTATCTATCCATCCATCTATCTAATCTACCTATCTACCCATCTACCCATCTAATCTATCCTATCTATCTATCTATCTATCTATCTATCTATCATCTATCTCACAGGGTGCCAGTGCTGAGTATTCTTTTTCAAAAACTAATAACAACATTGAGATGGACAAGGCAATTTCTCTGATTATAACTTTATCAGGCACTGCACTTCCAATTAATAGCACTTTCAAAAAAAGTCGGTACTCAACAGAACAGGAGATAACATGATTATTAAATAATAGTATATTGGTGTCAAGAGACACCAATTAATAAAAGACAGCAGTGGAACAAAGTTTGCTTTTGCAAAATAATTCTATCGAACTTTTGTCCGTTTGGATTCCGTCCTTGTGTTTTCTTTAAGGGTTAATGATTTCAGAATTAGTTCCAAGGGGCTCTTTATAGATAACTGTGGGGCATAATGGGAGGAGTTGCCTTCTGTTCCATGCCTCCCCTCTATCCTGCCATTATCATAGTCTTTGAAGGGGATGTTTCAAGTCTTCATTAATAACTTGGTTGCTAATGCCACTCTGTAAACTACAGTATCACGTGTCTCTATGTCATCCCACACAGAGCATGAATGAACACTCACTTTAGAAAAACTGCAGAAAAACACAGTAGAACTTGGTTGAAATTTCACATTCAGAAATTTGATCATTGAAGCTCAATCTGTTTTGAAATTTATGTTTGAACTTTATATTATTAAAACATTTTAATATGTATGATTTTCAGGCCATATTTTAATTCAGTTTTTAATTACCATACATAAGCTTCCTTATAACATTTTCATATGTGTTTAGTTTTAGTTGGCGCTATTTCTGCCCCTGGCCCATCTCCTTGTCCTATATATCCAAGACTGAAAGAGAAGTTTTCATAACTGGCAAAAACGGTCAGCAGTTTTGAATCCTTATTTTCATTAAATAATGAAATCACAATAAAACATGCCAGCTTCAACTGATAACCCAGTAACTGCTGTGTGTTCACAACCATATCTGTGTCACATGTCACTAGTACGTGGAGGAAGGACCTTTGCAGAGTGATGCAGGTTAGTTAGGGTCATTAGGACCTGGCTCCCAGGATGCTGTCAGTGGTTATCTGAGAGGAGGAAGTGAGTAATGAACTCACATGTTCTGTCTCTGTGTGAAGTCCTCCACCATTTATGATGTAGCAAGAAAATCCCAACCAGATCCTAGCACATATCTGATTCTAGACACATGGGTTCTTTATGAGTTACCTACTTCCAGTTTGGTTATACAGGAATGAAAACAATATTGACAAATTATTAGTGTAAAACTTACTAAGGTATTTATTTATTTAATTTTCAGTAAATGCATGGAGTTGTACCATTATCACCACAAATAACTGTAAATATTTTCATAATTATGTCAAATAAATTTGAATAATGCTGCTGTAAACATCCGTGGGCAAACACTTAAGTGAGCTCACTTGTGTTTTCTGTTGAGTGTGTATCTAAGAGTGTAACTGCTCATCTGACTACAGTTTTGTTTAAATCTTTTAGGAACCACAATGTTTTTAAATTGGATGCACCACCTACAGTCCTACAAGCAGTGTGTGAGGGCTCTGGCTACAGTACACCTGTAACTGACAGACGCTTGCTTTTACATGCCTTTTTAAATTTAGCTATAGCTGTTGAATCGGTGTGATGGCTATTCTCGGTGGTTAACTTAAGTACAATTGGAATTAAGTAAAGCCCAATGACTGGGCACATCTGTGAGGGAATTTTTTTCCTTAATTAAATCATCTGGAATGAAAAAATTCGACTTTTAATCTAAATCTTTGAGGTGGGAAGACAAACCTTTAACCTGGAGCACACCTTCTGCTGGCAGCTATACAAGGGCATGGAAAAAATGAAACTTTCTCTTTGCCTGTTTGCTCTTGCTCTGCATAACAAGCCCATTCCTTCACTGGCATTAAAGCCCACTCCTTTGGGAGTCTAGCATCTATCTACTGAGGACCAGTGAAGACATTCAGCCCTGTGAACTGAATGATTCCTGGATTCTGGGCCTTCCATTCATAGGCAGCCATTGTTGAACTCACTAGACCACAGCTTGATATATATATATATATATATATATATATATATATATATATATATATAGAGAGAGAGAGAGAGAGAGAGATTCATTCTACAGGTTCTGTTCCTCTCTGTGAAGAGAAACCTTGACTAATATAAGCTATCCTGTTTTTGCGACAGAGTCTCACCACATTACCAAGGCTGGCCCTGAACTCACTATGTAGTACAGGTTGGCCTTGAACTTGTGAAACTCCTGCTTCTGTCTCCTATGTGCAGGACTGTATCAACATCCTCATCCTTTTCACTGTTGAGTGGTTTAATGCTCAATGGTGTTGACCATCTTTTTATGGACCGATCAGGCATGTGCATGTCTTATTTAGAGAATGTCTATGTAGATGCTTTACTCTTTTAACTGGCTGTTGTAGTATCTACTAACTTGGTTCTATTTTGTTGAATTTCCTTAACATAATAAAAAAACAATGAATACTGAAAGAAGCCTTAAGTGGAACTCCCTAGAATTTGATGGGTAATTATGAAGGCTTTGCTTGCAATGCAATAAATAACACTGAGTACTTATTGAATGCTTTCAATAGGCCCATTTCTATATTTGCTTTCAATAGGCCCATTTCTATATTATCTTTTACATGTCTATGTCAGAATAATAACATTAATGTTTTTCAAAACAGAAGAAAAACAGTAAAAATCCTCACAGTGGTTTATGACCAACTTGGGAACAGAACACAACTGTAAAGATGGATGCCCTCTTCCAGCTCTTGTTTACTCAAGTTAACCACCAAGAATAGCCATCACAAACCATTAGAAAAACTCAGGTTCCCTGATGTGTTAGGGACAATCTTAGCATACTTCCCATCTAAAGAGTAAGGAAGAATGTGATAGAATTATGGATCTTGATTTTTCTATACTCTTCACCAAACACTAAGCACTGCAGAGTACAACAATGGTCAAGCCAAAATCAACAAACTCACTGCACAGAGCCTAAATGAAAGGTGTAGCCACTTAACAACACTTATAGAATACTTCTGAGTGAGTCACTGAATACAGCAGAATACTTCAATAGCCCTGAAGTGGTGACACTTCCCAGGTCTCCAAGAATGCTAGTTAATTTCTTGCAAGGCAAAAAACATATTGGGTTATTTTTCCACATGGCTTATTATCACCATTAAAATCCCTGTGGAAATGTTTGTGCTGTATAAGGATTAGGCAGCAATCCTACCTAACCCACCACACAGCACTCAGCTACTTCAAAACCCAAATGACCTGGGGCTCTGCAGCACTGGCCTGGGCAAACACTACATGTGCCTTCAGAGTCTTAGTTGCATGGATGTTAATTGCAGTGACTTTAGGTAACATTTTCTCAATATGTTATTTCTTTGTTAAAAACAACCTGGCAATGTTTTGATGCAATAAAGTCCATTATAAAATCTTAACTTGATACTTGTCAGACAAAACACGGAGACAATGAATGAGTAAAACCTTGGTGCCTTAGGTCAAAAGGACTGGTGTCATAAATCACTAGCAAGACCAAAAATGCCATCAATATCTATTATGATAATGGGTCCTTGTGAAACAAAACTTTTCAATAGCTGTCCTTCTAATGGCCCAATTAGATGTTTTAAAATCTTTATAATAAAGAAGGGCAGAAGAATATATCAACCAATACTTAGAATAAATAAGTTTAAATTATGTCTTGTGATAGATACTTATTAAGTGATATACTTAAGCTCTGTAGGTAAAAAGAAGGAAAGAAAGGAATGAAGGAAAGGAAGGAAGGAAGGAAGGAAAGAAAGAAAGGCTCCTGGCCATCATTACTTTGCTCCACCTGGTCCTTATACACATTCCAAGATTTCATAGCAAAGAGATCAAGAAAAACGACACAGATTAGAAAAATTGGTAACAGCTTTTAAAACATCCGTTAGTTTCTTTGACCTCTAAGGAGTTTCCCAGCTGAAGGAGGCCATGTTAAGATAAATCATCACTTGCATCAGATAGGTATGCTTGCATCAAAGTTGCATAGATGACCATTAGCCTGGCCACCTGGGCCCTCTGTAGTGCTGTCTTTGAAGAAATCCAATCACTCCAGAAGAAGGAATATAAGTATGTTAATCATACAGGACATCAAAAGGGAAAGTTAAAAAAAAAAAAAAGTTTGGATTTCTGCCTTGAATTCTCCAGTCTGTGTCTGCTGCACCAATGCCTCTTACAAATGAAGGGAGAAGGGGGCAAAGGAGAGGCTTTCCTTCTCTGTTTTCAGAAAATGTAAGTAAATGTGGCAAGGAGAGGGTGGTGGAGGAAGGGAAGAATGGATGCGGATGCGATGAGTAGATGGATGGATGGATGGATGGATGGAGGGAGGGAGGGAGGGAGGATGGGAGGAAGGGGGACAGGGAGGGAGCCAGGATTATTTTGTTTCCCAAAGTTCAGTTGTCAGAGTGCATGGGGATCTTAAAGCCACATACAACTGATAAGCAGGGGCAATGAATCACTGACTCACATCCTTGTCCCAGACTTGCCCTTCGCTACCCGTGCAAATGTGACCAAATTACTCAGCCTTCTTAAGCTCAGTTTTCCATCTGTCGGGACCAGGAAGTCTATGACAAGCCATGTCTGTGTGCTTTCACCAGAAGGCTGCTGGTGTGTGTGTGTGTGTGTGTGTGTGTGTGTGTGTGTGTGTGTGTGTGTGTGTGTGTGTGCACGCGTGCGCGTGCCAGTGGATAACTTCAGGTGCATTCCTCCTCATGTGCTGTTTTTGACAGTGTCCCAGTGATGTGTGGTTTGCTAGATTGGTTGGTCAGAGAAGGCCCCAGGATCCACCGGTTTGTGCCTCTTTGGTGCTGGGATTATAGGTATATGCCACTGAGCTTGTTATTTAGTTATTTTTTAAATCTGGATTCTGGAGATCAAACTCAGGTCCTAACACTTGTGCAGCAAGAACTTCTCCTGACAGAACTCTCTCCCCAGATCCATTGTTATTTCTTATGGAGATTTACAGAGTGACTGTTAATAGCCTTGCCCTCTACCTCCTGGAGAGTACAAGCCAACAATGGGAGGTAGAACTGTGATGGTTTTCCTGACCAGCTTGACTCCTCCCAGTCACATAGACCAGAAATACTTCTCTACTTTCCTCACTATGAACTGGTCTCTACAAAGGGCAAAGTGCTCTTCAAGGGACTAGAGTTATCAGTTCTGTCCATAATAACCAAACACACCATCTCAATTAAGCTGATAATTGTTGTAGAATATTAATTTGTGATGTATTTGTTTATATTGTGGAGCACTTGTTTGATGATGCTAAGATGTGTTGCATTCTTTTATGCTGCATTTGTTTACCTCTGTGAAGCTGTGTTACTCCGACTGTCTAAAACACCTGGTTGGTCTAATAAAGAGCTGAACCGCCATTAGTGAGGCAGAAGGAAGGATAGGCAGGGCTGGCAGAGAGAATACATAGAAGGAAAAACCTAGGAAGAGGAGATCAAGGAACTAGAGAAGGATTGGGAAGAGAAGGGTCCAGCCACCCAGCAACACAGCCAACTACTGAGTAAGAAGAAAAGATATACAGAAATAGAGAAGGGTAAAAGCCCAGAGGCAAGAGGTAGACTGGATAATTAAAGAAAACTGGCTAGAAATAAGCTAAGGACAGGTATTTATAAGTAATAATAACCCTCCATGTGTAATTTACTTGAGAACTGGGAGATGGGCCCTCAAAGAGCCAAAAGCAGAGTTAAAAAACAATACAAACAAACAAAAAACTCCACACATGAAACAGATAATCATCACCCTATCCAGACCAAGCAGAGGTGAAACCCTCACACAAAAATGCACCTTCTTAAAGGAGACAGAAGTCTTGTCTATGATCCCCAAGCCCAAGGTTCCAGTCATAAAAGGATGTAAAAGGATGTAACTTTTACTTTTGGTCCCATTACAAGACAAGTCGTGTGGTTGGTGTGTGTGTGTGTGTGTGTGTGTGTGTGTGTGTGTGTGTGTGTATGTGTGTGTGTGTGTGTGTGTGTGTGGCTGTGGGAGGGTGTGTGTGTTCCAAGTCCTCCCCTTCAAACCCATTATCTGGGTGAATTTCAAGCTATTCAGGTGACTCACACATGACATAAGCCAGGACTGATGAGAGTCATGAGTCGCGTGCCTTGAGAACTGTGGAGAACTCAGAGCCCCATTGCTTCTATAACTACCACACTGTGGATTTGATCTTTCAGGGCACATTCTGGACAATCCCCAACAAGCCACTTCCGATATACTTCCTCTCCCCAGTCCTCTCCACAATTACTTTCCAGAGGAGGTGGAATGGCACCTGTCATGTGATCACTCCACCTCCTTTGGTCAGCCTCATGTATAGCAACTCTGCTCCTCCTCCCCAGAGCACTGATCTCGCCTCCATGACAATATTCCTGTCTGGACATCCGCTCAGAAGGAACAGAAGAAGATGAGTGAGCCCTCTGTGGAGAAGACTATTGTGGGACATTGTGTAATGGTAATACAGGACAATAAAGGCACTGCCCAGACTGTGCTTCAGTGAGGGGAGAGGAACAGGGCAGAGCTTGTTCCCTGGGTGCAGAAGTCTCTCAGGAGAGAGCTGAAGGTGGAACCTGACCAGCAGGAGTAGGGACAAATTCAACAAATGCTATGATTACTAGCTATCCACCTACATCACATCAGGGTTTAGCTTCTATTATCATCTAATTAGTGTCATGGGCTGTTTTGTTTCATCTTCTCAAATGTACCCACTCATATATACCAACCTCTAAACACCTACACCCATTCCTATATGCCCACCTCTAAAAATCCACCCTTATATACCCACCACTGAATATCCATGCCTATATACCCATTCCTATATACCCATCCTATATACCTCTGAATACCCATGCCAATATACTAACCCCTCCACCATAAACTCTAAGAGAGGGACTGCTGTTTGTTCTTTTACAGTGCTCATAACAGCACTCTGCAAGGTGATCTGTGCAGAGTACTGCTAGATAACAGTCTGTGACTTAATAAAGTTATATGGAATCTGGGTGGTGGTGGCACACATCTTTAATTCCAGCACTTGGAAGGCAGAGGCAGGCAGATTCTGTGAGTGAGTTGAAGGCCAAGCTGGTCTACAGAGTTCTAGGATAGGCTCCAAAGCTACAGAGAAACCCTGTCTTGAACCCTTGCCTCCCCAGCCTCTGTTGTCCCCCCCCACCCACCCAATTGCATGGTTGTATGGGAAAATAAGCCAGAAGCAATATATACTACATGCACACAGTGTTAGCTTTCTCATCGCTGTAGCAAATACCCAAGACAGCACCTTAATAGGATGGATGAGCTATTTTGCCTCATGGTTTAAGGCCATGTCTGCCTGTCCCTATTGCTGTGGGCCCGTGGGAAGGCAGTGCCATCATGGAAGAGGTGGAGTAGTGGGGCCAAAATGCAGAGAGAGAGACAGAGATAGAGACAGAGAGAGACAGAGAGACAGAGAGAATGTCCTAGTAGGTGGGCTTTCATTTTTCTTCCTCTTTTATTTCAGGGGCTCGTTAGCCTACTGGATGTTATCACCCACATTCAAAGAAGGCCATGTCCCTTCAGTTAATTGACTAGGGAAATTACCTCACAGACATGCCCAGACATTATTGATTTTTTTTTTTTAGGCAGCTCTCAATTAAGTCAGACTGACAATCAAGATCAACCATCAGATATGTATTAATAACAATTCTTTGTACCTGTTAAAAGCCTAAGTAAGCCAGGTTTCAAAACAATCCAACACACGGTTTATTTTCGTAAGATTTTTGGGCACAGTCATTGTCCAATCGTTTATGAATTGTCAGTGTCTGCTCTCATGATATAAGAAATGGCTAGCTAGTTAGAACAGAGAAAAATGGGCAATACAGCCTTTAGTGTCTAAAACATTAGCTATTTGGAGCTTCATACAAAAAGCTGCCAGCCACAAATCTAATCTCTGGTCATTGTTAACTGATATGACTATAAAGTGTGTGCTGTGGATCCATGTTGTACTAGCCCAAGTTAGGTTGTCAGCTCCAATTCTGGAGAGTTTTCTCTACTAGGTTGCTGACTGCCACCAACTGTATACTCAAACAGCAGGAGACTAGGCAGTTCTTAAAAGTCCTTCTCATGTGGGCATTACTGTGGACATTACCTTATGGGGATTTGATTTCACACCAAAGGCCCCACTTCTGTTATGATACGGGCTAGGATTTCAACATAAGCATCTAATGGGATTCATGTCTAGTCTATTGCATTAAGACACCCAGCACCTATTACTGCACTACCTGCCCAAACGTCCTGAATACCCATGCTCTCCTCTCATGCAGGAGTTAATCATTCAATTGTACAGGTTAATGTTATTAAGAGGCTAGCAATCTGAATGTGATGGAGATAGGACCACCACCATAGTTATCAGGTAGATCATCACCTCATCCTATTGTCTTTACAGGATACAGGAAAAATCACATATGTTCTTGTCTCTGCCCAACGTGATGCTATGTGCTGCTACAGGAATCTGAGCATATTAGTAGGGCAAGCTGGAGCCTTGCTGAATGAGCAGATTAGATAGACAGTGTGGAATTGTATCCCTGTGACCAATCCAAACACTCTGCCAGTGGGAGTCTTGGGTGTCTTGGGAATAATATGTACCTTATTATACACAAGAGGCTTTACACCAATTAGACAATTGTTTCATGCCTGAGTTACCATCTTCCCTAACAGCCTACCAGATGCACCCTGGTTTACTCTAACCCTATTTGGTTTCCAGGAAGAGTCAAGGTACACTTGGGTGCCAAGTGAGTTATTCCACATCCAGAACTAATGCTATCTTAAATCGTCTCCATGCTCCTAAATTCTGTATTTTTTTAAAACAAGTTAAACTGTATTAAATGACATGAACTTACCTGCACTATTAAAGTAGAACTGCTGCCCTGGATACTCAACACTGGAGGAAAAAATGCCTAAGCACAAAGGAAATCAACATTTTAATAGTGGTCATAAGGTTTTAACTGCTAATCTTTCCAACAAGTAAACAGTCTTCATGAGAAAACCCAGGGTCACTTTAAATAATTTATAAACAATTGTTAAAACAAACCTCATTTATTTGGAGGGGACAGTGTGTGTGTGTGTGTGTGTGTGTGTATGGTTTGTGTGTGTGTGTGTGTGTGTGTGTATGGTGAGTGTGTGTGTATGTGTATGTATGTATGTATGTATGTATGTATGTGTGTATGTGTGTGTATATGTGTGTGGTGTGTGTGGGGGTGTGGGGTGGGGGGGTGGATGTCAGTGAAACCCTAATTTACATGCATTCTGGTTCCTTAGAGGTGCTAAGTGACTTCAGGTGATTTTTGCATCACAGGGCACCAAGCTTGGGCTCTGAAGCCATTATAAAAAAAACAGACAAGTTGTGGTGGGTAAAAGCCTTCTCGAAACAAGGGTATTAGGAGAGCCTTAGACCCTTAGACCCAAGGGTATTAGAAAGACCCTTCCTAAGGGACTTTCTCTGGCACAGGTGAACCAGACAGAAAGAGGCCCAGGCAAAGTTCCAGGATGACTGCTTCTTTTAAGAAGAACAAAATAGCAGGCCATTTTCTATAAGTTGTGTCATTTCAATTCTAGGCTCTCTCCTGTCTTTCTCTGCTTTCCTCAGAAAACTGCTTGCAGACCGTTTTTCAAACTTAATTTTCTTTTGTGTTACTTTGAAAAAATTGTATGTAAAAATGTCTGCACAAAAACCAATAAACACAAACAGCTACGGTCTTAAAGAAGGTTTCAAAAAGTTTAAATGTTATAACCATGGGGGAAAATCCTTTTTAGAAATTAAAACAATCATGTGTCTAAATTTTTTTGTTTGTCCGCAGAGAGCCTTAGGAACCACTAAATCTTAAGACACAGAAAAGTAGATCAAGACGATGCATTCTCCCCCGTATTAGTATTCATTGCCAGAGAGGCACTGTCCAACTGTGCTGCGAATGTGATGATGCCGGCACTGGCTAAGGTAATGGGCGAATGTGCAGAAATGGGAATCTGTGTAGATACTGCATAGCCTGTAAAAATCACCCCAAAGTGAAAACAACCTGCCAATAAAGGCTGCAAAGCAGGGCCCAGAAAGCTTTCAAATGCCATGAATATTATATGGTTCTCAAGAACCACAGTCATCGGCACAAATTGTGAAAACAAATTATTTATGGTTCAAGAAAAGGTAATAGTCTCAGAAGGTTTCCTATGAATAAAAGATGAAATATTAGAATGCACATGGTCTATAAAACAAGTGTTTGCAAAACACCTGCCTTACAAGTCAAAATCGGTACAGTATTTTATATTAAAGGGTCTAAATGTATTTGCTTCTAAATAAAACATTTTCATTGAACATCAATTTAGAGGGGGAAAAGCAAGGGAAAAAAAAACCAAAGAAAATAAAAAGCAGGGACCAAACCTCAAGAGATAAATTACATGGCTTGGCTTCCCATGACTATAATGTCTTGCCCACCAAGGACCTGGTGGTCATCCTGAATACTTCAATTTACTGGTACTTCAGTCTAGGCTTGATCTACTTCTGTAACCTTGCCAGGCATATCTATTAATTCAAGGAATTTTATAGAAAAATACATTATTGTAAACATACGCTTTGAGGAAAATTGCAGTTTTCTGTGAATGCATAGGGCTGGGGGTAAAAGTCTGTACCTTAAGAACACCTCAGAATTGAAATTTGGGTTTTCACTCTCCTTTTAGGAACAACGTGAGGACCTGCGATTGGCTGTCTTGACATCTCTTGGTTTAATGAGAAATCTGAGTATATCAGGGCATTTCTAAAGTGAGCCACAAGGAGTGTTGGGCTGCTTCTGTGCACATGAATGAGAAGAGGAACTTCTAACTGCTGTCAGGCCAGAGGTGCTTTGTTTTGTACCTGCACATTTCTCCATGATTTTCTTCAGAGGCCCCAGAGTGTACATCAGTCCAACAAGAATGCCAGCCAGATGCCCAGCGAAGGAAGTCCTAGGAGGGAAGGAGACCCTTAGTGACTGTTCTGTTGCTGATTAGAGACATTCTGTCTTCTCATTAGCCCAGTGCGAGCCAATTAGTCAGAGTCCACATGCTTTGTTCCACACTGGGCCTTTTATGCTGAGTAGCATTTAGCTCAGTCCAAAGAACATTTCCTACCTTAAAAGAAAAACAACAACAAAAACAAAAACAAGACAACGACTAATAATGTCCACACATTTAAAATGCATCACCCTTCCTTAACTAAAACACATGCTTGTTTTTTCTGCCAAGACAAGCCATAGATTACATCTATTTCTTCCCTGGACCTTTTATCATCGAAAAATACCGATGAAATCAGTTTTTTCTGCTCAGAATTAAATATGGACTGTCCAACCATTGGGAGGGACAGTGTCCATCCATGTTCACAGCACGGCAGACAGCTGTGTGTTTATGCATGACTGACTGGTAGAGCAGCCGGCCACCGAAACTCAGGGCAGATGACCCTATGTACTACCTCCTCCCCTTGTTTTCATGCAGTTAAAAGACTTCAGTGTTGGGAAGATGGGTTGGGCACTGGATGACTCTAGTCTTCTGGAATTACCATGAAAGCCTGGCAATCGCTTTAAAATGTATTTTCAGATGCTTGCATTTATCATGTATTTCTAGAGGCCTGTGGTACTTCCAGGTTGGTTGTGGGCTGGGGACTATGTCTATGGAGGTCATTCAGCCCAAGTTGAAGAATTACTAGGGATTTACTGAGCTGCACATTTTACCACCAAGATGGCAGAGTTTCTCAAGTCAAGTGCCTGATTGATTGCCAGCTGCCTGGCACCATCTAAACACACATGGATTTGAACACACACCTGAGCCCTAAACTGGTTCTTTTCTGTGGTCTCATTTCCATGCAGTTCGTAAGCTCCAGCTTGTCACACCCAGTGCAGCTTTTGTAACCCCCGTCCCGTCCCATCCCACCCTCGCTATGCAGGTTGTTGTGGGTCCCTGACTAAACTATTAGGGAAAGTCCAGCACTGGATACAAGGTGAGCACCAGATGGATACATGCTGAATGACCAAAAGAAAAATCAGCTAATAAGTACCCCGAGCTTGCTCTCCATTGGCTCCCACAAGTAGTATTCAGCCAGAGTGCAAGCCACGTTACTCCCTTCCTCTGACATCTACTGGCTTACTTATGGACTTGTATGAACCAAGTATGAACTTGACTCCAGTTCCTGCCTTGTTCATCTTTTCCCTTTAGCCCCGGGACCCACCACACTCATCCCCACACATCCAAACACTCTGTGGCCTGAGCCTGATGCAGCTCTGTCAAAACCATGAACTCGCGCACCTCCTCGGCCTGTCCTCGGCCTGTTCTTCTACCTCACCATAGCCCATACCCAGCTACACTCAATGGCTAAGAGGGCAATTGTTTTCATCAGAAAAACCTACCTCATGGGATTTATAACCTAATAACAAAATACGGAATTGGTTCAATATCTTCCATGTTATGGAACAGATAGTGGGACCTAGGCTTTTTGTTAGGGTGCCCCACCCCTGTGTCCATATTATTTTGTTCTCTATTGAAGCATAAACAACAATAACACACACACACACACACACAACTCCACCTAGTTAGAAGTAAGAAAGTGATAGTTTAAAGGAACAAAAAGCTTTGATTTAAAAAAAGAAATTGATTTCACTTTAACTAAAACGAACTTTATTTTTAAATAATTGGTAATTTTGAAACCTTTTAAAGTAAGCTTCCTGGTGAATCAGAGATATAAAATAAAACGGAAGGAAGTTTCAATTAAAAGTCCAACCTATTAGACAGTTAATCTTAAATCTCATTTACAGTTTGGAGCATAATACAGTAAAATGAATTCCTTATCTTTATAATGGGTTTTCAGAAGTTTGAGTTATAGTCTAATTGCTCTGATATAATTAGAATAGCAAAGGGAGAAACAGTGCATCCTGCTCCAACCCTGAGCAGTGGCACAAAGGTCCTACCAAAGAAAATCAGCTATTGTTATTACTTCATTTGTCCAAAGAAGTATTCATTTTCAAAATGAAAAGATATGATCTTAATCAAAAGGAGATATCTCACATTATGCACAAAAGGGGAGAAAGTTCTCCACAGAAAAAAAGGAAATATATCTTGTTTTAAGAGTACCATAACTCTTCCTTGCAGTCGGTAACCATTCCCTAGAACGCCTCCCTCCCTCTAAGACACAGGCATCCCGAGTGCAAGAGACGGAGCGCTGAGGTTACCTTTGGGAACAGAAGGAAGCCTTGAACTATTCGCAAAAGACGGGAAAACCTTCAAATGTACTTACCCTCCTTGAAATCACAGTGTTATGACTGCCTTAGTTATTGTCCTTGGTGCTGAGACAAAATGCCTGACTAAAGGAACTTAAGGAAGTGTTGATTTCTGCTCATCCCCAGAGAGAACAGCCAGTCATGACAGCAGGAGCGGGAGGCGGCTGGTCACACTGCATTCACAGTCAGGAGTGGGATGGTTAATGGGGGTCTCCTTACCTCAAGTAACCTAAACTAGATAATCCTTCATAAGTAGGCTTGTCTCCTGGTTGAGTCTAGACCTCTTAAAGTTGACAATCAATCACAATTCTGACCCCTGTCAACTGTCAGCTTGACACTCAAATGTACTTACTTTGACTACAGAATATATTTTGTTCAATTTGGAAAGCCTGCATAGTCTTTTGATTCCAACAATGACTCCAGGCAATCTCTTGTCTGTGACAGCCTCCATAAGATAAAAACAAGTGCCACACTTCCAATATACAGTGGCACAGGGCGCACATCCCTATTACTGCTGTGTTCTCAGAACATGGGAAGAACACTATTGAATATCACAAAAATGGCCTTGAGCCAGTTCCAAATAGCATCCTTGTTCCCCTCTGAAACTTCCTTGGCTGGGTCTCCACTATACACATTTCCTTGTATTTCAAGAGCCTACAAAAATGGTCTGTTAAGCTTTGCTTACAGTACACAAGGCTTTTCTAACCCCAAATCCAACATAGTCCTCCTTCCAAAGGCCTGGGAATCACATAGGCTTTTCACAGCAATGGACACACTTCCCAGCATCACTTTCTATATTAGTTACTTTTTCTACCACTGTGATTAAAATAATGGACAAAAATAAAAAGGGGAAGGGCTTAGTTTTGAGGGTACAGTCCATCCTGGCTCCACAAATCAGTGATAGCTTGAAACAGTTGGTTATGATGTATCCACAGACAGTAATGAACACTAGTGCTCTGATCCCTTCTGTTTTATTGCCCAGTTAATGACAGTATTGCTTCCTAACTTACCCTGGTCTAGACAATCACTCACAGGCATCCCCAAAGGCTAACTGAATCTACATAGTCACTCACAGACATGTCCAGAGCTTATCTTCTAGAGTTGAGATCCTGTTGATGTGTCAACCAATGTAAATGATCACAACTGTAATTGTAAATGCTCAACAGAAACTTTGATCTCAAGGTTAGCTACTTTGTTTTCAGCTGTACATGGGTACTGTGAAAGCAATTGCTCAAAAGCAGAAGAAGCTCACAGACTGGCACAACACACTGAGAAAACCCTGTTACACTGTTACACTGGGTAGTGCCTCCATCTCAAAATGTGAGAGCCAGACACAGAGGGATGGCCATGAGCTCCAGGCCAGCCTGAGCTACATAGTGAGTCTCAGACAATCCTAGTCTACAAAGTGAGACCTTGTTTCAAAAATATACATAAAACAATAGTGACAAAATTATTTTGAGTATTCAAATTACTGCAAAGGGCAGCCACTTATGCTAAGTACTTGAGTTTATCAATTGTCCAACTTTGTTGCTGCCTGTGCAGTGTTATGGCATTTCCGGGTTCACTTTCCTCCTTGCTAAAACGGAACTTCTATCAGTTCTTTTAGCTATTGCTTCAAAATGGAAAACAAGTCTTCCTAGTGTCTGGGCGTTCTAAAAGATCTTTATTTTAGGAACCTCTGTCTGAGGTCAGGTAGAGGATCCACTGCTGCTGATAATAAAGGGAGCCAGTCACCTCCTCCATGTACCATCTGTCTTTTCGCCCAGCTTCTACGGTATTGTTATATTGGACATGTGGTCATAAGACCTCCATCATTGTAGTTGCACATTCAGTTTACTTAACTGGCTTACAATTTGCTATGCTTTTTGATATATGTTCCTCTTGTTAAAAAATTCCCAGCCACGACCATTTTTGGAGATATGCAGCTGTTGTTTATTTGTTGACACATACTTCCATGGGTATATGAGGGCAAAAAGAAAAAAAAATAAAATAAAAGAAAGTTAAAAAATTAGGGCTACCATATGCGGTATATCAGAATAATGGTGGAAAGGCAACTTCTGAGCAAAATTAAGACTGAGATACTACAGATTTCAGTTATGTAAATGATATGCAAATGGCATGAAAGCCACCATGTTCTTTCCTATACAGGGACTCACCATACATTGTCACTCTTTATGAGGTGTAGGGATGAGCTAAATTGTTCTGCAAAAATACTCGCGGTCTCACACACGTGCTGCTGTTAAAGTATCCAGATCTGGAGCTGGGACTGAAAGCTGTCAAGCTACCCAACTCCTCCTCTGCTAACTGGCTAATTCTCCCCACAGCTGAAGAGAGTCTCTCAAGCATGGCTCAGTAAGTAAGCAGACAGTGTATTACCACAGACAGCATCTCACTGTATGAGCGGAGCTGATGACCTCATTAAGGACAGGGGTTGATGGAGACGCGGCGTTGGACAAGATAAGAGGAAGGGAAGGGGCCTGAGTACTTGCCATAATTTCCTCCTGTAAAAGCTGTTAACATCGGTTGGGGGACTAAGCTGATCAGCAGCTCTGGGCCCTGGGGAAAGGATTAAGCCGTCTCGGGTTAGCAGAGCACGTGTGGTCGGAGTGAGCCATTCCTGACAGTTCTGAATATCAATGCCACCGGAGAATATTTTACTATTTCTTCCCAAGATAAAACGTCCCTAAATGGCCCATTTTC